GCATTGCGTAACTGAACTTGCATCAACTAATATTAATTTGCAAATTACTTTTTACGTAAGCATTTCAAATAAAAGTTACATTCTTTTTCATCACAAAGGATTGGCTTCAAGGCTTTTTCCATTACGCCAAACCCGATAATGCTAATGGTTCTTACTGTTTCTGAGTTTGGATGGCTGTACGTCCATGTCTTCAAAATTTAACAACGTCTGATTTTGACGTTCGAAATATAATTGTTCCAAATATATATTAATATTTCAATAACGACGCAATTGTTGGGTGTTGACAAAAACGGATGCTGAACGAGAAGTACATATGTTTGCCCAAACGATAGTGAGTGCATTTCGACTGATGACAAAGGTTTATCTAGAAACATTACCCATAGTGTACTGTTATTCATTGGCGTAAAACATAGCAGACGTTTACGAGACTGTCGGATTTCTGTGTGAAAAAAATAATACGCGAAGCATTTAAGATAAAACCCTAGGCGTTATCGCTTATGCTCGAGCAGATGATACGACGAACGAAGATGAAAGCGTTGTCTTTTAGAAGTTAAACACCTCTTTCAGAGCGATCAGTATTATATCTCGATTGATTTGAATGGGCTTCTACTAATGTCATAAAAATGTTTTCAATTGGCATTGTAAATTGTGCCTTTTAAGTGGTATTTTGACTTGAAATAAACATTTAAGCAAGTTAGTCTGTGTTTACCTGCCAAACAATTGCAGTAAAATTATGCATATACAGTGCAGCCTACAGAGATAATATAGCGAAACTCCAACTTCAAAGACAACTTTGGACGCGCTCCAGGTGGTATCTCGCTCCTTATCACGGAAGAGAAAGAGATACACCAGGCCATGTCGTTCTCCTAGCCTAGGAGCCGCACTCACATCCTACACACCGCGTTTGACCACAATTGAGTAAACAACGAATGATACCGCTAGAAGAAAATCAAATATCAAACAGACCTTTCTTTTGAATTGTGTGATGTTCATCATGTAAAGGTGTGGGCAGGGGCTATTAAACAGCGGGCGACGTGAAGAAAATCTCGACAGATTAGTACAAAAAACCATGACGTCAATTATCGAACCTAAAAAAATAGAATCTAACCGAAATATACCGTGTCGAACTCCGGATGAAAATATGCGTCCGGACAGGTATGGAGGTTTTATATAAATCATTATTGATTTTTTAAGATTGATTTTGATTTTCTGCAAATATGTTTTGTTGTTTGCCGTTGCAAATATTTCATAACAAAGAACTTTAAAATTAATCTCCGTCTTATATATATAACATTTGATATACTACACAAAGTAGCATGAACATGCGTACAAGTTTGTCGTCAATACTAATTTTCCAGCGTAATTAAGAATGGAATTTTTTTTCTTCGTGTAGGTAAAGTATACTGAATGTATGTTTATATATCATAACTAGTCAGAAAATTATGTGTGACAACAACGGAGCCAACAGGTGTGACGAGATGGCTAAAAAGACTAGAGTGAAAATAGGCCCCATACTTACAATAGGCGGTAATAACGTTCTATCCCCGGAAAGACGATTCGGCTCCGTTTCTTCTAACTGCTTGTAATATGAGAACATATAATGGGGTTGTATATGATCGAGACAAGTCTCCTGAAATATCATAAGAAATTAAAAAAAAAATAGATTTGAGATACTTTTATCAATATAATAACAATAATAATAATAATAATAATAAAAAAAATGATGCGCTGACAGTTTGTAAAGTCTATTTTCAGTTCACAACTTCATGTCCATTTGATGACATCAAAATAAATTTCTGACTGGTGCAGTATCTGGAGTATATAATACTCTAATCAAACAGTAACTTTTATCAAACGGCTGGTATTGACTTTAATACATCGGCAGATACTGTCAAATACGGTAACTTTTATACAATGGATGGTATACCGCACCTGATACTGTCACGTTTATACAACGGCTGGTACTGTAACGTTTATACAGCGATACTGTAACGTTTATACAGCGTCTGGTACTGTAACGTTTATACAGCGACTGGTACTGTAACGTTTATACAGCGGCTGATACTGTAACGTTTATACAGCGTCTGGTACTGTAACGTTTATACAGCGATTGATACTGTAACGTTTATACAGCGACTGGTACTGTAATGTTTATACAGCGACTGATACTGTAACGTTGATACAGCGGCTGATACTGTAACGTTTATACAGCGGCTGTACTGTAACGTTTATACAGCGTCTGGTACTGTAACGTTTATACAGCGTCTGGTACTGTAACGTTGATACAGCAATTGATACTGTAACGTTTATACAGCGACTGGTATTGTAACGTTTATACAGCGGCTGTACTGTAACGTTTATACAGCGTCTGGTACTGTAACGTTTATACAGCGATTGATACTGTAACGTTTATACAGCAACTGGTACTGTAATGTTTATACAGCGACTGATACTGTAACGTTGATACAGCGGCTGATACTGTAACGTTTATACAGCGGCTGTACTGTAACGTTTATACAGCGTCTGGTACTGTAACGTTGATACAGCGATTGATACTGTAACGTTTATACAGCGACTGGTATTGTAACGTTTATACAGCGGCTGTACTGTAACGTTTATACAGCGTCTGGTACTGTAACGTTTATACAGCGATATTGTAACGTTGATACAGCGGCTGATACTGTAACGTTTATACAGCGGCTGATACTGTAACGTTGATACAGCGATACTGTAACGTTTATACAGCGGCTGATACTGTAACGTTTATACAGCGTCTGATACTGTAACGTTGATACAGCGATACTGTAACGTTTATACAGCGACTGATACTGTAACGTTTATACAGCGACTGATACTGTAACGTTTATACAGCGATACTGTAACGTTTATACAGCGACTGATACTGTAACGTTTATACAGCGGTACTGTAACGTTTATACAGCGATACTGTAACGTTTATACAGCGATGCTGTAACGTTTATACAGCGGTACTGTAACGTTTATACAGCGATGCTGTAACGTTTATACAGCGGTACTGTAACGTTTATACAGCGATACTGTAACGTTTATACAGCGATACTGTAACGTTTATACAGCGATGCTGTAACGTTTATACAGCGGCTGATACTGTAACGTTTATACAGCAATACTGTAACGTTTATACAGGGTCTGGTACTGTAACGTTTATATAGCGTCTGATACTGTAACGTTTATACAGCGATACTGTAACGTTTATACAGCGATACTGTAACGTTTATACAGCAATACTGTAACGTTTATACAGCGGCTGATACTGTAACGTTTATACAGCGACTGATACTGTAACGTTTATACAGCGGCTGATACTGTAACGTTTATACAGCGGCTGATACTGTAACGTTTATACATCGGCTGATACTGTAACGTTTATACAGCGGCTGATACTGTAACGTTTATACAGCGACTGATACTGTAACGTTTATACAGCGATACTGTAACGTTTAAACAGCGGCTGATACTGTAACGTTTATACAGCGACTGATACTGTAACGTTTATACAGCGATACTATAACGTTTATACAGCGATGCTGTAACGTTTATACAGCGGCTGATACTGTAACGTTTATACAGCAATACTGTAACGTTTATACAGCGTCTGGTACTGTAACGTTTATACAGCGTCTGATACTGTAACGTTTATACAGCGATACTGTAACGTTTATACAGCGATACTGTAACGTTTATACAGCGGTACTGTAACGTTTATACAGCGGCTGATACTGTAACGTTTATACTGCGATACTGTAACGTTTATACAGCGGTACTGTAACGTTTATACAGCGACTGATACTGTAACGTTTATACAGCGGTACTGTAACGTTTATACAGCGACTGATACTGTAACGTTTATACAGCGACTGGTACTGTAACGTTTATACAGCGGTACTGTAACGTTTATACAGCGACTGATACTGTAACGTTTATACAGCTGATACTGTAACGTTTATACAGCGGTACTGTAACGTTTATACAGCGACTGATACTGTAACGTTTATACAGCGGCTGATACTGTAACTGTATACAGTGGTTGTACTGTAACTGTATACAGCGGCTGTACTGTAATAGATGTTAATGTTTGAGGTTGGAATAAAATCAGGAAAAACAGACACTCTGGCGATATAATAGGATTAGAAAATTAAGTCTTATCTGTTTCATAACTTTTCATTTATACTACATACGTTCAAACATTTAGTCAGTTCGCGTTAACATGAAAAATAACAATAAAATATCTAAGCGTTTTAACACAACTCGATAAATGATCTTACACAAGTGTCCATTTTATATGAAGCCGCGTGTCGTGAGGCATTGTTCTTGTGAACAGTTACAACCTGTGTTGACATTTATTTAACTTAGAGAAACATATTATCGACAATAAATGTCTACAATATTTTCTTCCGGTTCAATCATGAATTTTCATTTTTGAGACTGCAACATGGTAACATGCATACAGTTAAGTGTCTAGTACGAACATGAATATACTTCAAAATTGTGCGCTGCTGATTCTATCGTACAGCAAAGCTACAGTGTATAATGTAGCGTTCGAGTTCAGTTCCCAGACTTACTGAGTGCATCTGAGATTTCATGAAACAAGCCATTACGGTTGATAGTCTAAATGAAAGTTAATGAATGAACGTCAAATGTATTACGTTTATCTTTAGTGATAAATTCCGGGAGATCTCCAATGTCCTTATTCTTATTCATAATAGTATTTTCCCCAATTTACTGCCCCAAACCCCTGATATAAAATGAACTTTCTTAACGAATTCTGCTTTAAAGTCTTCTCTTTCAATGCAGTTGGTTTTGGGAATAAAATTGATTCAGAGTACAAAAGAATGACCCAAATGTGCTGTAGTATCATTTCAGCGTAAAAATGAACTGAGGACAGAGGTTTACTACAAGAACCATTCACAGCGGTCAGCAAGCAGCACAAGTGTCACCACAGACACTGACTCTAAACATACCAAGACACCCTGGATGGCCGTCACCCACCACAGACACATCACCTCTAAACATACCAAGACACCGTGGATGGCAGTCAGTCACCACCGACACATCACCTTTAAACATGCCAAGACATCCTGGATGGCCGTCAACCACCACAGACACATCATCTCTAAATATACCAAGACACCCTGGATGGCAGTCAGTCACCACCGACACATCACCTCTAAACATGCCAAGACACCCTGGATGGCCGTCAGCCACCACAGACACATCACCTCTAAACTTACGAAGACACCCTGGATGGCCGTCAGCCACCACAGACACATCACCTCTTAACTTACGAAGACACCCTGGATGGCCGTCAGTCACCACAGACACATCACTTCTAAACATACCAAGACACCCTGGATGGCCGTCAGTCACCACAGACACGTCACCTCTAAACATACCAAGACACCCTGGATGGCCGTCAGTCACCACAGACACATCACCTCTAAACATACCAAGACACCCTGGATGGCAGTCAGTCACCACAGACACATCACCTTTAAACATGCCAAGACATCCTGGATGGTCGTCAACCACCACAGACACATCATCTCTAAATATACCAAGACACCCTGGATGGCAGTCAGTCACCACAGACACATCACCTCTAAACATGCCAAGACACCCTGGATGGCCGTCTGTCACCACAGACACATCACCTCTAAACTTACGAAGACACCCTGGATGGCCGTCATCCACCACAGACACATCACCTCTTAACTTACGAAGACACCCTGGATGGCCGTCAGTCACCACAGACACATCACCTTTAAACATACCAAGACACCCTGGATGGCCGTCAGTCAACACAGACACGTCACCTCTAAAAATACCAAGACACTCTGGATGGCCGTCTGTCACCACAGACACATCACCTCTAAACATACCAAGACACCCTAGATGGCGGTTAACCACCACAGACACATCACCTCCAAACATGCCAAGACACCCTGGATGACGGTCAACCACCACAGACACATCACCTCCAAACATGCCAAGACACCCTGGATGGCCGTCAGCCACAGACACATTACCTCTAAGCAAACTTTCCTTTTCATTCAACCAATGTTCAAAAATACATTTGTGTCAGTACAGTGTTTCTGTATAAGAATACAGTGTTTCTGTACAAGAATAAAGTGTTCCTGTACAATAATACATTGTTTCTGTACAAGAATACAGTGTTTCTGTATAAGAATACAGTATTTCTGTACAAGAATAGTGTTTCTGTACAAGAATACATTTGTTTCTGTACAAGAATACAGTGTTTCTGTACAAGCATACAATAGTTTCAATGATTTTATATAAGACATTTACTATATCATTGGCCAAAGGTCAGTGTTGAAAATGTGTCAAATTACCAAAATCATTTTTCAAATTATTGATGTGAAGTTATTAATGACTAAAACCATCGTCAGACAGGGGGACAAATAACCTTTTTGGCAAGTTACTTAGATCCATGCCACGGTTCCGCGACCTTCATGGTTCCCGTATATGTCTATATATTATCATACCGGTAAGTACATCTACACTACATCGACGCAGAGACGCAGTGGTACATTACCGCTGTTAAGGTTCACGGGAATGATTTCAACCATGTCCACACCTCAGAATAAAAAACCATCAATTTTGTTAGTTTAAATGCAGTTTAATGCTTTAATTTATATACGTTATTGCCAAGAATAATGCAACGAAATAATTCGAGGCAGTTTTTTTTATGTTAAAATGATTCTAAACATGCATATTACTATTAAAAATAATGCAAGAATTCATTAGAGCGTAGCGAAGTAGCAATTGATTTAATACGCTTGGAATGAAAAAACATACTAAATTAATCACATTAAAAAAAACTTGGCGAAAGAAAATACATAAAAAAATATATATATATAATATATACAGTGTTTGATTAGTTATATATCCCTCTTAAATTAAAAGTTCCTCATGTTTAAGTCAAAATTCATTAAAAAACAATAATCAAATTACGTTTTATATTAAAGTGTGTTCATTTGTATCGTTCACTTTTATTGGCTCTCGCAGAAGTCAGAGTGAAATCACAGCCTGCTTTGTAGAGTCTCGATATTGGACATGTAGCGTGCAAGGTTGAAAGGTTTTCAAATTTCCTGATATAAATTACCATTACCGTTTTTCATTTTTGCATTGGTCAATTTTCTAATTTTGAAAATAAAAACATAATGAAATCGTTAGTTTTTCGTCTGTATATTGTAGAGGCTTCCTAAAGTATGTACGCAGTATACATGTTTATAGTACTAGGCGGGGTCTCAAAACAGAGAAAATGGGTTGTGAACTGATTTGTCTGTAATTGTGAACAAGTTTGTCTATAATTTGTGAACAAGTTTGTCTATAATTAGTGAACAAGTTTGTCTGTAATTTGTGAACAAGTTTGTCTATAATTTGTGAACAAGTTTGTCTATAATTTGTGAACAAGTTTGTCTATAATTTGTGAACAAGTTTGTCTATAATTTGTGAACAAGTTTGTCTATAATTTGTGAACAAGTTTGTCTATAATTTGTGAACAAGTTTGTCTATAATTTGTGAACAGATTTGTCTATAATTTGTGAACAAGTTTGTCTATAATTGTGAACAAGTTTGTCTATAATTTGTGAACAAGTTTGTCTATAATTTGTGAACAAGTTTGTCTATAATTTGTGAACAAGTTTGTCTATAATTTGTGAACAAGTTTGTCTATAATTGTGAACAAGTTTGTCTATAATTGTGAACAAGTTTGTCTATAATTGTGAACAAGTTTGTCTATAATTGTGAACAAGTTTGTCTATAATTGTGAACAGATTTGTCTATAATTGTGAACTAAATTTATGCATAACTTGTATTTATAGTTTGTAAGTTTATGTGTGTACTTTGTGAACAAATCTGTATAATTTGTGAACTAATCTGTATTTGTGAACAAATCTGTATACTTTGTGAACTAATCTGTATACTTTGTGAACTAATCTGTATAATTTGTGAACAAATCTGTATAATTTGTGAACTAATCTGTATAATTTGTGAACTAATCTGTATAATTTGTGAACTAATCTGTATAATTTGTGAACAAATCTGTATAATTTGTGAACTTATCTGTATTTGTGAACAAATCTGTATAATTTGTGAACTAATCTGTATAATCTGTATAATTTGTGAACTAATCTGTATTTGTGAACAAATCTGTATAATTTGTGAACAAATCTGTATAGTTTGAGAACAAATCTGTATAATTTGTGAACTAATCTGTATTTGTGAACAAATCTGTATAATTTGTGAACAAATCTGTATAGTTTGAGAACAAATCTGTATAATTTGTGAACTAATCTGAATTTGTGAACAAATCTGTATAATTTGTGAACAAATCTGTATAATCTGTATAATTTGTGAACAAATCTGTATAGTTTGTGAACTAATCTGTATAATTTGTGAACAAATCTGTATAATTTGTGAACTAATCTGTATTTGTGAACAAATCTGTATAATTTGTGAACTTATCTGTATAATTTGTGAACTTATCTGTATAATTTGTGAACAAATCTGTATAATTTGTGAACAAATCTGTATAGTTTGAGAACAAATCTGTATAGTTTGTGAACAAATCTGTATAATTTGTGAACTAATCTGTATTTGTGAACAAATCTGTATAGTTTGTGAACAAATCTGTATGATTTGTGAACTTATCTGTATAATTTGTGAACTTATCTGTATAATTTGTGAACAAATCTGTATAGTTTGAGAACAAATCTGTATAATTTGTGAACTAATCTGTATTTGTGAACAAATCTGTATAATTTGTGAACAGATCTGTATAATTTGTGAACTTATCTGTATAATTTGTGAACTTATCTGTATAATTTGTGAACAAATCTGTATAATTTGTGAACAAATCTGTATAATTTGTGAACTAATCTGTATAATTTGTGAACTAATCTGTATACTTTGTGAACTAATCTGTATAATTTGTGAACTAATTTGTATAATTTGTGAACTAATCTATGTAATCTGTATAATTTGTGAACTAATCTGTATAATTTGTGAACTAATCTGTGTAATCTGTATAATTTGTGAACTAATCTGTATTTGTGAACTAATCTGTATTTGTGAACTAATCTGTATTTGTGAACTAATCTGTGTAATCTGTATAATTTGTGAACTAATCTGTATAATTTGTGAACTAATCTGTGTAATCTGTATAATTTGTGAACTAATCTGTATTTGTGAACTAATCTGTATTTGTGAACTAATCTGTAGTTGTGAACTAATCTGTGTAATCTGTATAATTTGTGAACTAATCTGTATAATTTGTGAACTAATCTATGTAATCTGTATAATTTGTGAACAAATCTGTATAATTTGTGAACTAATCTGTATAATTTGTGAACAAATCTGTATAATTTGTGAACTAATCTGTATAATTTGTGAACTAATCTGTATAATTTGTGAACAAATCTGTATAATTTGTGAACTAATCTGTATAATTTGTAAACTAATCTGTATAATTTGTGAACTTATCTGTATAATTTGTGAACTAATCTGTATAATTTGTGAACAAATCTGTATAATTTGTGAACTAATCTGTATTTGTGAACTAATCTGTATAATTTGTGAACAAATCTGTATAATTTGTGAACTAATCTGTATAATTTGTGAACTAATCTGTGTAATCTGTATAATTTGTGAACTAATCTGTATAATTTGTGAACTAATCTGTATAATTTGTGAACTAATCTGTATAATTTGTGAACTAATCTGTATAATTTGTGAACTAATCTGTATTTGTGAACTAATCTGTATAATTTGTGAACTAATCTATGTAATCTGTATAATTTGTGAACTAATCTGTGTAATCTGTATAATTTGTGAATTAATCTGTATTTGTGAACTAATCTGTATAATTTGTGAACTAATCTGTATTTGTGAACTGATCTGTATACTTTGTGATCTAATCTGTATAATTTGTGAACTAATCTGTATAATTTGTGAACTAATCTGTATTTGTGAACTTATTTGTATAATTTGTGAACTAATCTGTATTTGTGAACTTATCTGTATACGTTGTGAACTAATCTGTATAATTTGTGAACTAATCTGTATTTGTGTATTTGTGAACTTATCTGTATAATTTGTGAACTAATCTGTATAATTTGTGAACAAATCTGTATAATTTATGAACTAATCTGTGTAATCTGTATAATTTGTGAACTAATCTGTATAATTTGTGAACAAATCTGTATAATTTATGAACTAATCTGTGTAATCTGTATAATTTGTGAACTAATCTGTATACGTTGTGAACAAATCTGTATAATTTGTGAACTAATTTGTATAATTTGTGAACAAATCTGTATAATTTGTGAACTAATCTGTATTTGTGAACTAATCTGTATAATTTGTCAACTAATCTGTATAATTTGTGAACTAATCTGTATTTGTGAACTAATCTGTATAATTTGTGAACTAATTTGTATAATTTGTGAACTTATCTGTATAATTTGTGAACAGGTTTAGTTTAAAGTACTGCATGACTTATTCGCATGATGATTTGACTTCCTTCTTCAATTACTGGTAAAATTGACACATACACAAGACAAAGCGGCGTACCTTAAACTACCCAACCACGCGCTTCTACTGTAAAATATGTTAAATACTTAACGTTTTAAACAGTGAATGGTTAAATATAGAATTAAAATAAACCAAATTCTGATTATGTTGTTGTTTTTGTTTTTGTTTTTGTTTTTACATTACCAGTTACAAAGCAATCAAACGTCGAAAAATGTCAAATTATACACGATGATTAAAACCACTATGTCTTGTATTTCATTTTCCAGTTAAATCAGGTTTTATTCTTACATGGGCATGTGCTGTTTCTGGGGCAACACCATACCCACCAGACAATGTAAATTTAAAACCCAGCAATTGGTTGATTAAATATAAGTACACTTATAATTTTAAGAGGTATCGTTATTGTTACCACTAATAAAAATTCCTTTCCT